GCTCCAGCTACAGCCCTCGTGTCTATGCTGCGGTCAGGGATACCCGCGAAACGTCCTGATCTTCCCGCTCCGATACCTGAGACTCCACTGTGCCCTCAGACTCGTAGCCCTCAAACCTGACCTGCTTCAATGCCAAACCCTCCGGCAACGGAGCCTCCGGCTGCCGCAGCAGGTACAAGGCCGTCGTCACCCCTGCGACAGCATGCTGGGCACCGATCCCCCTTCCGCAGAACGAAGCGGTGTCGGGGTACGACCAGGTGGCCCCCACCTGGCTCGGAAACCCCCGAAGCCGCAAAATCTCTGCCTTTTCGGGTCGCCGGACCCGGCCGTCCCGGTCATCGACGAAACCCTCCGTAGGACCCAGTGGCTAATCGGCTGCATCTTCGAACAGCGTCGCCCTCATTGTCGGCATAGGGTGCAGCGCGCTGCACACTCTCCGCCCCAGCCCGGTGTCTCCGGGTACCCGGCCCAGCACCACGTGCTGGTTGCCACGGGATCCCTGAAGGCCCGGCTCTGCCCACTTCGACCACTCCCCGTCGTATGTCAGTGTCTCCGTGAGCTCGTTGAGGGGGACAAAGAAATCCGCTGGCACCAGCTGCAGCAGGCCCGCCTCGTTGCCCCGCAGCAGGCGGACCTCTTGTGTCGCGCCCATAGACCTGAGCCGTGCTGGCCAGATCAACCTCACGCGATTCTCGCCTCCAAGCTCCGTTGCGTTAAGTACGCAGCTCTCTGGCGGCGGGGCGTAGTAGCCGAGACGGCGCAGCCGTCGTCGGGCTTTGCGCAATTACCGTTCAAACTCTGCGTCGCCCCTGAGATAGATGAATTCCATCAGTATCACCTTCGGACAAGCCGGCTAAACCCGCTGGAGAACCTTCAGCCAGTCCACCAACCACCCGCCTGTCGACCCCGCTCGCCGGCGCTGCCGCCCGGCGAGCGACCAGTCGCCACACGGTGGCGATACTGCCAAGATATCGAGTTCCCGGAAAACTGCGCCCAACTCTGTGTCCGACACGTTCGCCAAGTCACCCCACGCGCGCAACTTCTTCTTCTTTCCCCTTTTCCACGTCTTTCAGACAGCTTCATCATTGTCGCACTGCACGACGAGCTCGCAGGCTTCGAGCATTTCTGCGACTCGACCAAAGCCATCCAGCGCCCCTGAAAACAGCTATCTTTCGAAGGGGTTCGCCCCCCAGCAGGGCGTCGACGCCGGGCCAAAGTGCTCGGGCCGTCGCCCGCAGCCGTTCGACAAAGAAAACCTCCTCCTCCTGTCCGCCGTCCCAGTTCACGTCGATCGGAACAAAGCCAGGGTCGGGCCAAACCCCTCCCGCCGGGGGCGCCGCGGGCTGCGGCGGGCCCGGCGGCGGATCAGGTAAAGGCGGAGCAGGCGGCGGCGCCGCCGCGTCCACCGGCCTGCTTCCTGAGCCCATTCAATTTCAATTTTCAATTCAACTCTCGGTACGTCCGGAGCTTCAATCCCGCCGCTGGGACCGCGATCGCGAACGCGACCGCGACCCGCTTCCATCTTCCGACTCCGAGTCGGAGCCCGGCACCTTGCCCCCCGCTGCGGCCTTCACCGCCGACCACGTCACCCCGTGGCCATCCCAAAAGCGCTTGTTGTGCGAGAACTTGCACTTGGCGCCGAACTTACACTCGCCTGTCCGCAGGAAACCGAGGCAGGCGCCCATGCCCTTATCCTTGATCGTTTGGCCGTCCTTCTTCGACAGGTCCCACAAGGCATCCACGTAGCCCGCATCCTTACCAGCGCCTCTTGCGGCCGTCCCTTTCGACGCCGGCTTGCCCGCCTTCGCGGGCGCCCCGTCGGCGTCGTCCCGGCCGCGCTTCTTCCTCTTCTTCTTCTTTGACTTCTTCAGCTCCAGTTGCGCTTCCTCGCCCCGCTGCCCCGAAGCTGGGGACGACACCCCGCCGCTCACACGGCGCTGGAACTCATTCACACGCTTGACCACAGCCATCTCATCATCGATGAGGGCTTGCAAGTGTGTCGGTAACACCGCTAACTTTGGCGGCTCCTTAACGGACCCGTCCAGCCAGTTATTAAACGCCTTCTGGAATTCTGCGTGGACTTTACACACCATGCTATTCACAAAGTCGGCCGAGACTCCCATATCCAACCAGCCAAACACCAGATCTATAAACCCCATCGGCCCGTTCTGATCTAATGGCGACACAAAATTCCACAGCGGCTGAAACACATGTCGCACAATCGACCGCGGGCAGGGCGCTTTGCGCCCCTGGTGGCCCGCATGGCTGCTTCGGATCCACCGCCGCCGCGCGATCAAAGCGGTGGGGTCCGAACCACTCCCGGTATCCTCCCTCGCTGAACGCAAACGCGACACCGTAGTAATGCAGCCCCTCGATCGACCCCGTCCTCAGGACTGAATTTAAAGTCACCCCTTTCTTGGACGCCGGGCCCGCGCGCACGGTGTTCGGCGGCAACTTGCCGAAATCAGACCTGTGCGCCAGTTCCTCCATCCCGTCCTCCGCGCCCTTTCGGAGGGTGAACAGCGTATTGCCGTAGGTTCCCTTTGAGACCACCTCGCAAGAGCCCGTGGACCGTGCCACCCGCTGCAAAGCTCGGCCAAAGTCGTCCTCCGGCGGCTTACCCAGCACCTCCTTTGCTACCGCCATAGTGCGACCCGCGTCCTCCAGGCCGGCGCACAGCACCTTGGCCCTAGGGGCCATAGACCCGCCCAATAGCTCTTCCATTATCTTGAGCCCCAAAGACCCAGGTTGACGCGAGCCCGGATCCTCGATCCGCTGCTTCTTGGCCTTCCTTCCCGCCAACTCCTTCAGGGCGGCTCCCAGCCGCAGCCCGAGCTGAACAATCCACTCATAGCACTCGTCGGGGTTGTCTTCGTAGTCGGCAATGAGCGCCTCTCTGATGATCTTCGTCATCTTCCTCTTGTTTTCATGGGTCAGCTTGATGCCGAGGTGGTCTGCCATGGCCGCATAGACCTCGTGGCTGTTATTGCGGTGGAGCCAGTTCTCGGGCTCCCGAATCCACGCCACCACGCCTTCGTCGTCGGGGCTGCCGCCGTCCTTCCAGACACCATTGCATCGCTCGATGAGGTTGTGGTATATGTACTCTCTGAATTGCCTCCGGATGCTCCGGCCCATGCGCGGCTCGAGCTCGAGCCGAGCGACGAAATCGTCGAAATTCTCCGATTCGACGATCTCGGAGAGCTCGTCCGCGCCATTCTGTTCGCACCAGATCAAGTTGTCTTCGCACCAGCCCAAAGCCAAGTCGATGTCGAAGGTGGCACCATTCGTGAGAACGTCTCGTAGCCCCTTGAGCTCGTCCACGAGCGGCGCGTAGTCGCCGCGCGGCCCGGCGACCCGGATAACCTCACACCGTTTCAATTTCTTCAGCATGAGGGTTTCTTCCCATTCGTTACCCTGGGTGCCCATAATGAACCCCGGGTTCATTCGAGACACGACGTTGATGTGCTCCATGGCGTCTCGACCCCCGCTGCCAGTCGTCGTCGCCCTGAGCACGTCCGCAAATTCGAGGTGGTCGAGTACGAGACCATGAAGCGGCGCGGGGAGCTTGGTCCACATCTCGTTCACTGGCACGGCGCGGGGTGCCCTCGAGGCTGCTGCGCAAGGGTGCGGTGTACGAGCGGAGCCCCGCTCGCCGAGGATTTATATCAAGACGGACCCTGCCGGCACAGCCCACATTTAGTTCGATTTATTTAGTTTTAGTGAGAATTTCAAGACGGACCCCACCGGCGCACGATCACGCCAGGGCGGACCACGTCGCGCTGATGCGCTGGCGATAGTTTCGGCCCGGCGACAGTAGGGGGGCAGCCGCCAGGGGCCTTGAGGGAAAGTGGCTGAGCATCGCCGCCATTCTCATCCCCGCCGGCCGCGTTTGCTATGGTTTGCACTTTCCACACATGAGGACGTCTTCAAACGCCCTAGCTCTACCCTTAAAGGGAATTGGTTTTCTGCAGACCATCCATTTTCAAAAATCCTCTGCTTTGCAAAGGTGTCATCATTGATGGCGTCTATCGCACGTTCCAAATCATCCTCCGTTGTTGCGTAATATGCTTTGGCGTACAGTTTCGCACATTTAGCGCCATGTGCCCCTCTTCCAAGGGCCTCTGACCTGTGCTTGAAATCAAGAAAATGAGTGACACCACCCAATTGGTATCTGTGGGCCGCGTCTCCTCCCTTGGAGGCATCAGATATGTCGACTGTCGGCGAGGCGCGCGCTGTTTTGGTCGAAACGACAAAGTACGACATCCGACAGACTTTGATGCCGGAGGGACGCAAGAGCGACCAGTTCAAGAAACTCATTGTCGACATCTTCGCCACCTCGGCTCCGGTCCGGGAGTTCATGCAAAAAGATTTTCCAGACCACGACAATCGCCCATGACTTTATTACGAAACTAGGATTAGGTTTTTCTACATTAAGCTTAAGCTTTTTTAAAAATAATTTCCGTCCGTTGAAGCTCCATCGCCCCTAGCTGATCGCGCAGTCGTCGTCGGCGGGCCGCTCGTGGTGGTGGTCGGCCCGCGGCGACGACGCCGGCGGCGGGGGCCGCGGCGGCGCGTCCGCGCGGCGCGGCGGCGCCGCGCCGTCGGCCGGTGCGCCCTTGCCCGCCCACGCGTCCGCGATCTCCGCGTCGTTGGCCCGCGGCGCGTCGCCCGGCACGAGGACCTGGGCGTGGCCGTCGCCGTGGGTCCGGTGGTGCGTGCGGCTGCTCGAGCTGTAGCTCAGCACCTTCTCGATGATCTCGCCCGTGTTCCAGTCCTCGTCGTCGATCGCCGGGATCTCCAGGGGCTTCGACATGAGGCTCGGCGGCGACTCGCGGATCTCGTCGTCGATCTCCGCGACGCAGGACACGGTGAAGTGGTAGGACACGGACGGCGTCAGGCCGTGGATGAGCGTCGACGCCGTGTCGGGCACGGGCAGCCCCAGATTCTGCCGCAGCGCGATGCCGCGGTCGATGACGGGATTCGCGCAGAAGTCGCGGCGGTGCCGCCGCGCGACGGCGGGGCCCACGGCGTTGTGCTTGACCTCGATCTCCTCGCCCTTGACGTAGCCCCGCACGACGTAGCGCTGGATGTCGCCGCCGCGCTTCGTGAACGCCCGCTGCGGCGGGATGCGCCAGGGCAGCACCAGATCTCGCCCTATATTTTTGCCACGCTCGGCAATTCGGCGGCAACCAGGCTTGGTTGAAGCCGGCTCGATGGGCCGGCCCGCCTCAGGATGCCGCGGTCCGCGGGCTCTGCGGCGAGAGAAACGGAACCGCCGCGGGGTAAGAACAAAAAGCTATCGCGAGCGGGTCCTTCACGACGGCGCCGCACAGGCCTAAACCCGCCTAGGGCGCACAGTGCACCATGGCCGCGCCGGCGAGGTCCTCCTCCGGCACGATGGACGCGTAGTGGGACTCGGCCCAGAAGGCGAGCCAGATGGTGGGCGGCGCGGTCGGCGGCGTCCGGTGCTGCGGCGTCGCCGCCGGCGGCGGCGGCGGCGGCGTCGATTCCAAAGCACTCACGACGTGGGCGACCTCCTCGTCGAATTCCCGAGACCCCAGCGACCGCGGCGGCGGCGCGTTCGGAATGGGCGGCGCGTCCGGCCGCGGCGCCTCCAGCCGCGCGCGCGGCTCGACGCGGAAGATGCCGCGCTCCTCGTGATGTCACGAGGCACACGACGACGCCGTAGACGTCCGCGGCGGCCTGGTAATGATTAAGCTCGCCTCCAGTGTAGCAGCCCACGTTGTAGGTACACGTTGCTTGAGTAAGGGAGATGCCCGCGCGGTCATGATGTACCGCTGCAGTGACCAGACCAAGTCCAGAACCATCTAGGGTGATGATGTAAGAATCATGATCGCGACTGTTTTTAGTTCGTCGCTTGATGTTGTGTAGGATAGTCCAGACCTTAGCAATCATAGGGTTACACAAGAGTCTCTTTGTGTCTTTTGTACCGCCAAGTTGAAACGATCTACGAAAGTGATGAAATGGAGACATTTCGCAGTCAAAGTTGCTCTTTATTCTTTCGAGCAGCATCATCAGTTCGGCGTTCTCCCAAGTAGTAATCTTGGTACCTCCAACAAAAGTATGATCACTGGGTTCAGTGGGATCTTTGGGATACGGCACCGGATCATTATAGATGCGGTTCATATTCTTTCCTCTCAGCCAGTGTTGATGCGGAACATAGTAAACTCCCGCTATGCTGGTGTAAGGTTTGCTGCAGTTTGCCCGCTTTTTTCGGCAGCCAGCTTTTAGCTTTACGGCACCATAAACAATGTCGGACATATCGTCCCACATCTGCGTCCATGTTTGGCCAGTATAATCTCTGTTTCAAATCTTGAAGGGTACTGTCTCGACCTGCATGCTGGTTAAAGTCTGAGTCGTGGTGGATGCGGATTTCTTCTCTTCGTAGCGTGACTGGCACGTACTTGAGCTCCTTTTTACCATCCTCACGCTGCCACAGTATGCCGTCATCTATCAACCAACGCTTCTGCGCCTTCGCCTTTTTGCTGGGGTCACTGGCGTTAAGTTGTTTTTGTATCTTTAAGAAAAATGGGTCGTCGACAGCCGCATCTTGATACTGTTTATCTGTGATCGTGTCACTTGCTTGCAACGCGATCCGGGCTCTTTTAGCCTGGTCTATTTCTTTCAGGGTTTCTTGATCCTGTGAGCTATCTGTTTCTTTGCTTTCATCATCATTTTCACTAATTGTAGGCATGGCCACCCCCTTCAAAATTTGAATCTCAACGCCCTCGTTAGAGAGTGTTTCATTTGAGAACGCTTCTGTCAGGTTGGTTTCGCCTACTGCGCCATGCTGGAGGCTTTCGCCCCACGTGACCATAAACTCGGCCCCGCTGCTGCGCAATCCATTCGTGTCCATCTCACCTAGCTTAATCTGGGAAATGTTCACACAATATGTTGACATAATAACTGCCATTTCTTCATCTGTGATCTCCTGGGCCAAAGAGTTGCGGCTTAGGCAGTCCGCTACTTCCATTTTAATCCCAGGTCTATATCTAAGTTCATAATTGTACTCGCTTAACCTCATTGCCCATCGGGCTAACTGCCCTGACGAGTGTTTGATATTGGATATAAAGGTCAAGTTTTTGTGATCGGTATCCAGGAACACTCTCACACCATCTATATAAGGCTTGAAATGTTCTAGGCCCATTATCACCGCCAAGAGTTCAAGACGTCTAGCATCATAGCATCTCATTGGCTTTGGAACGCTACGGCTCCAGTATTCAATCACGCGTTCATGTTTCAGAGTCACCTGCTTGCCATTCCTCTCAGCCTTGGTCTCAATGATTTGAAACAAGTAAGCACCCAATCCTTCGCAGCACGCGTCGGTTCGGATGTACAGGGGCAAGTTGTAATCTGGGGGGTGAACGCCGTTCGTCTCGCACAATGCATGGATCACCGCATCCCATCCAGATTGGCATTTGTCACACCATTCGAAGGGGACTCCGGTCTCCAAAAGCCTGTTCATCGGCTGCACTATGGTAGCGAAGTTCTTAATAAATTTTCTCACATATGACGCTAGCCCAAGGAAACTGCGTAACTTCTTCTTAGGATCTTCTCCCGCAGGATCCGGAACCGGCATGTCCTTGATGGCTTCCAGCAGGTGCGGAGTTGGTTTCAACCCAGTCGGTGTGCTGAGATGCCCTAAGAACACGAAATCCTTAACAAAAAGCTGCATTTTCTCTGCTTTCACAGAGAATCCTTTGGCTGCTAACGTACACACGACGTCGGTAACCAGTCGCAAATGGTGTTCCTCATCCGAGCTACCCATTGCTACATCATCTACCACAGCGACCACATCGGTCCACAACCAGCGATCTAAGCACTGATTCATATAACGTTGGAACAACGCGCCTGCTGTAGCTAGTCCAAACGGCAACCTTACGTAGCTGTAGGACCCTAACTGAGTGGTGAAGGTCATCGCCTCCTGCGCTTCCGCATTTAACATCAAATTGTGATAGCCCCACCTAATGTCCAGGGTAGACCTGATAGGTTTCGTGGCTAACCACGCCAGTGCATCGTCGTTCCTCGGGGATTGGTACGAGTCATGCTTGATAGTTTCATTTAGCTTCCGGAGATCAACACACATTCTCCAGCCCTTATTTTGCGGTTTGGGCACAATGACCACTGGGAACCCCCAAGAGGACTCTGACGGTCTGATGATTCCATCTCGTATCCATTCCTGAATTGTGTCTTTCAAGAAGGCTAGTTTAGGGGCATTGAGTCTGTATGGCTGTAGTTTAATAGGTTCAGTTGCTGTCGGGGGTCTAAGAACTGAATCCCAACCGGGTCTGAGTCTACCGGTCTAAGGGTTTTATCAAACATACCCCAACAGTACGCTATCATCTCTTTGAAATGCTGCTTCATGGAGTCGCCGAGCACTGGGTTATCTGTCACACCAATCCTTTTCATGGTGTCAATTAATTCTTGATCCGTAGCGGGTTTTACTCGCCACTTATCGTCGACGCCTAAGTCTCTGGGCTGGTCAGGCAACGGTAACCCTCGCTCATCCCTGTCGGCGTTTTTCCACGGTGGCCAAACTTCGGCTTCCGCGGTTGTTTCGGTTGAGTTCGCAGCTGCTCCCTCAGCCTCAGTATCTTTCTGTGGATGCTGGTTAGCACCCCACAAGGTTCCGTCAGTGACGGAGTCCATCAATTGAACTGCTGTGTTTTGACTGAACCTGTTCCTGAAATCTGAATAGAAGGTTATGGTCCATCGAACCCCTGCTCCTAGTTCATGCGTAATCCCGGTTCGCCTATTGATTTCGCATAACCGGCCCCACGTGTCGACTCGCCTCTCAGGCTCTGAGACCAGTACGTGGCTGTCCACGTTGGGCCCTCCTGAAGTCATGACAGCGGTTCCTAAGTCTTTTGCGCTAGAGCGGGTTTTCCCATCTCTGGAGGCGATCGAAATTTTAATATTGGTGAGCTTGTTGCCTTTGACACGCCCCTGGTTTATTGTCAAGAACATGTCTCTCAACGCCATCCACAAGTCAGCTATGGTGGGGTCGTGCATGATGGAGAAGGGTACTCCAGTCATGTGACTGATACCCATCAGGAAGGATACTCCTTCTGGCGCGCCATCATTGGCAGCGCCACCATCCTCAGGGAGACTCATGCCTCCTAGTTTTGCCATCAGTTTACGATTATTCATTATCTTATCCAACAGTAGGTGGTCTACCTGCTCTCGCCATGCACTACTTGTAGATATTCCCTTAGTGTTCGGCGGAATTAGGCATCCTTCTGGGGAGATGTCGGTTCCTTCTGACGGCTTAACCTCATATATAAATTCCCCTGCTGTATCGTAATCGTACGGCAGGAACTTTTGCTCTATTTCTTCCAGGCTATAGCGCTCGAACACCCTTCGCCTAGGGTCGAACACAATCGCTGGCCGATCTATATTATCCTGAAGGTTGATATCGTATTGGTGAGGCCAGTCATGAGTGATCAACACGAATTCATAAGGGGTCCTCTTATCTGATGAAGGGGTCCCTCTGGTCATCATCCGGTTTCCCGGTCTCAGTCCCGCGCGAGCATTCTTAAACGCGGGCGACCATGGCACATATTTGGGGTCCTCACGGTTTCTGTCTGGTCTGGGACGCACGTCCTTGCAGATGTCAGGCAAGTCTATCACGCTCATATTCAAAGGCTCCTGAGCATACTCAGTTTGCATTGTATGTGCTTTGACCGAAGCTTTTGCTAGGTCTTCCTTTGTCATGTGTCGTGTGTTTAACCTTCCGTCTGGCTTGCAGACTGCGTCTTCGTCATACCAGGCAACTGCCATGTTATACGCCAAACATACCAATTTTCTCTTCTTTTCATGGTCATGTTCCGCCACTCTTCCTATGCGCCAAGTGTCCTGATCCATAACCATTGCAATGTCGGGAACTACATTGTCCCTCAACTCGTCCCATCCCGTTCTCATGGCCACTGGGTCCCCCGCAAAAATTTCGGATTCGACCCCGAATCCATGGAATATGTCTTCGAAATGGTTGTGTATATTTTTCTTATTAGAATCATGCCAAGTGTTTAGCACTGCTACTGTCATCTCTTCCGAGAACGACGGTGGTATGCACTGGCAACATAATTTTAACATCCTCGTTGCGTTGAGGTCATCTGGGAATTGAAAGTCTCCCTCTTCAATATCCATCATTCTCAGCAACTCTGGTGTCTTTACTGGTTTCATGTCGGGTCCCTGCGGACCATACTGAATTGGGTTACCAGTGATTGTGTAGGCCGGCTCTTCTGCTGACCTTACGTAGTTATGCCCGTTACGTATTAGCTCGATCTCCTTGTCTATGAGATCGTATGCCTCCATTAGCATCCTCTTCGGAGATATAAATTTTTCTTTGTATTCCTCCGCGGACAGCTTCTGCAGCTTCAGGTCTCTTTTAGAGGCGATGAGTCTTTTCCTGTCGGACGTCTGGGCTGTGAATTCACGCATGTTCAAGACTTCAGCATATGGCGTCTCCAACATCACGTATCTAGCGATTACAGGGATCTGTTCCAGGGTCCACATTCCTGGCCTGCATTGCCTCATGAGACTGAGGGTCCATAGTGTGAGCTTTACAAACTCCTTCACATTCCTCTTCTGCATGTTGGCAGTGGAACCTTCAATGCACGATGGGCTAGCATGCCAGTACATCGAGCTCCACTGCTCCCGTGGTACATATTCGCTGATCAAGTCCATTGTGGTCTTGAATGATTTGCCCAGTATGTGATTTACAACAGTCACTCCTGGGAAAGTGTTTTGGTGAATCTCGTTGCTGAGCTCGCAGTTGTCTATGGCTAAGACGACTTTGAACGCCGCCCCATGCTTTTCCCAAGCTCTCTGCAACCCCTTATCGAATCCACCGATTCCACTATAAAATACTATTACTTGGATAAAGGTCAGGGGGAGCCACTTCAACTTGGAGAACTTATGCTCGATACTAGAGGCTCTTTCTGCCACTTGTTTCGTAGCATCGTCGTCCAAATGAAATACTTCCCCGGTGCGGCTGTCTGCCGAACCTGTGACCACTCCGCTAATGACATTGGTTTCTCCTAGTTCCTGTCCGCGTTCGATCCTGATAGGTAAGTTCTGGTGCGTATTCTTGACGTAAGTCTGTCCATAACGCGTACCGTCCCCTTCCCACATGAATCCTCCGATGTCAGTTCTACTCCTTCCTACTAAGACCATTCCATTGCGGTGATTCCCCGGGTCATCAGTGTGGGGGTTGTCCGCCCATTCACCCTTGATGGCACAGTCGTATTGATCGTCAACCCACTGGCCTTCAGGGATTTTCGCACTGAATTTCACTTTGATCACCCGCTCTTCTCCGGGTCTCAGCGACAAGGTCGCTGTAGAGTAACATGTCACTCTCTTGTGTTGCTTGAGGTCGGGCATTACCCTACCTACTTCCGTTTTCAAATTGTTATACATTTCTGATTTTTATTTTTATTTGGTTTTTATTTTTCTGTTTTCTGGTTTTTACTTGACTTGTTTGGTGCGCCAGTGGCGCTTTCTCCTAAATTTGGGACTCTCCCCTCGTGGCCAGTGAGTAAGACTCGACTTGCATGTCGTCGTGGTCAATTTGGTAGGGCTTATTCGGGGGATGATGGTCAATTAAATAACTGGTGCATTGCTGCAAGGCTTCTTGTTCTGTGAAGTAAAATCTGCAGAGGATCTCAGCCTTATTGATCGCGTTGCCTGTTTTTACCATGGTAACTTTGGGCATACATTCCACATCTGGGCTAGGTTGGATCTGCATTTTTGAGTTCCGGGCTAGGATCACACCTAAGCCATGGTCGGTAATTGATCCTATGAGTTCCATGAACCGGCATCCGAGCATGAACGGTACACCTAAGTTAGGGACCACTTCAAACACGTACCACATCCACGTCCCGCCTAAGGAAAAGTAGACCGCTGTCCAGCCCCAGATTTTCTGTTTACCCCCGCAACTACCATTTATGTCAGGTTTGTCCTTATATTGCTGGATCCCATACGTGAGTTCACGCGCGCACAATGTCTTAAAAAAGTGCTCGTCGATGAAAGCTCGGTTACAGCAGGAATCCCATAGCCCAGCGGCTACAATATCCCTGTCATTCCTGGAAAATTTAGCTGGCACCCAGGTGAGAGATGTGAACATCCTCTTTGTGGGTGGCTGCAGCATTCCTTGCTGCTTCATTGTTTTCTCAATTACTTTCATTGAAGTAGAGACGTCCTCTCTGGCCAAGGTCTTAGCCATGTGGATGTCGTCAGAAACCCAAGTGTTGGCGACTTCCGGCCGGGAGTCCCTTTCAAATGTGGTTCTGTTTTTATAATCGAAAATTCCGTGTTGCTTGCACCACACACAAGTTGGCTGACGACACGGGTCTACGCATAATCTGATGTCCTTTGCTAGAGGTCCATGAGAGCAGTACTTGGAAAACACAATATCTTTCCGCTTGGGTCTCAGGTTCTCTCCTCCGGACTGTAAGCTTCTTTCGAGTGCTCTAGCCGGTCTGATTTCTACTCCATTCATCGTAACCAGCGTCACCACCCAAGTCCAAGGTCCGCGCGTTTCTTTGGATTTTTCCGGCCATACGTAGCTTACCATGTCACCTACCTGGATCTTGGTGTCCGGGTTGTCATCATAGCGCGGAGCTGGGTCCATGAGAGTAGTTTGATTTCTGGGCACTTTCATGTTTGTTACTGGTTGTGTTTTCTGGCAGTAGGTCTCTGCTAGTTCCTCTTCCTCTAACTTCGGGTGACTCTGTCGCTATGACGGCTCGAGGCATCGTCATCTCCTGCAACACTTCGAGGTGGAGCTGGAGATGGGGGAGGAATCGGGGGCATAAGCATGTCCGCTGGTGTAAACATGTCATTTAACTGTGCCATTTGTCCCTCCGAGACTGTACTTGGCGGTAGCTGGATCGTAGGATCTATCAGATCTTCTTCGTCTCCGAGCATCGTACTCGGTGCACGATATCCTCTTAGCCCTGTATTATGATCAAGCGGTCTTAGATCCGCACCTATTTCTGATCTAAGTGTGGGTGCTAAGACTCCTGCTTCTGTATCTGGTTCTTGGAAACTTGGCCTGCCGAACCCCCAGTCAAAGATTCGCTCTGACTGAGTGGATTCTGAGGACTCCAGTTTCCGGTAGCTGGGACCAAAATATGGAGGTAACTTGCCCTCAGCCTGACTCTTGACTAGGGTATGGTAAAATCTAGTTAGTAGACTACCTACTCAAGTAGATAGACCACTCGGCGATCGGGGCTCTCTGTCCTCAATCGCTTGGAGTTAAGTGAGTAAGAAAGAAAAGGAGCAACGTCATAGAAATCCAGATATGTATCCTTCGTCGCTCGCTGTGACTATCTTAAAGCCAGGTTGTAGATACAAGATCACTGCGCTGCCAACTTCAAGCTAAGTTAGTTATATATGTGTTACCTTAGTTCAGTCTCCCGCCACAACCTTGAGAGGCCTACTCCTAGTCTTGTAGTAGCTATGTAGAGAAAAGGGGCGAAGCACGCTTCCTTTTGCCTTGAGCCGTCCTACGAGGATCCATCTATCGCGGTGTTGAATGTCGCCACAAAGGTCAGAAGAGAATCGATCTGTAACAGTGACTTCGTAGTTGAGTTCTTGAAACATGCGCATTACTCCTAGATGATCTTTGTTGTAATTTTTATTAGGAGGAGTCATCTCAGAGATGTAAAAATGTGAAATTTGAAAACCCGTTAGGATTTGGACAAGCCTCTATACTAGTTTTGACGAAAAGTACACTAAGAACTACCCTACAATCTTCAAAAGATGTGGAGACCCGTGGAACACTCGAAACACGCGCCAGAGTCGCTCGGCGCAGCGTCGTGGATCGATTGAGTACCATAAGGCGGCGTCGTGCCGCAGGCGAGAGCGACGTCAGACCTCGTGTCGGAGCTCGAGCTCGAAAAAGCGCTTTCCGGGAAAGCGCGGCGAACGCGCGCACAGGGCTTCACCCCCTGCTTATCCCCGCAAGGATATTTTAAATATTGTCACTCAAGCCCGACGCTTCACGCTCGATCGGCTTCGTCGGGGCCAAAGAGGAAAAGCAAAGGGACCAAAAAGAAGAGCGCGTGCGCGAAGGACGATGCGATAGTTACGACCATTATGATTCCGACCTTGTTGAGCGCGGGAAGCTGACACGCAAGCATGACCATTCCGGCGCTCATCGTAGAAACCTAACAAGCGTGGCATTCTTCATGAAAGATAAATGATATCTCACCGCGCCCGCCGTGACGGAGGATCCCATGGACCGCACTGCGGATATAGTTTTGTCGACGCGGGATTTGTAGTGGAGGTGAGAAGCAGCGTAGTCGTACATGTGACACAGATGAAGTGCAAAGTCGAGCGATAAACCGACAACGAGTATCAGCATGAAGCACACTGCGCCGTCGAGGACCCAGCCGAGCAGTCGCGCGAATGCCATGGTGTTTGAAATGACGCAACCGACGGTCAGGATGGCGCAAACAGATAAACGAATGTCCCTGGTCATGAACAGTAGCATGCTGAAGGCGGCTGCGAACGTGATCAAGAGGCCATCGCGCAGCCCGCGTAGTAGCGCGCGTTGCGTCTTGTATTCAAGCCAAACCTGGGATGCGTGGAATACGTCACCGGTCAAAGGCGAGTGCGGATCAAATGAGCGGATCCTGGAAAGCATCTTGTTCGCTCGACGAAGAACCTGCTTGTTCGTCTCGACACCATTGTATAAATCCGCTGCCATTTTGGCATCGATGCGCACGTACCGCAGCTGACCGTCGACGTACCCGATCAAATTTTCCCAAGAAGAGTACATGGCGTGGAGTGGCACAGTGGTCTCACGAAATTCCTTTAAACGCACGTCAAACTCTGATTTCGTAAGAATGTACGTATCCGTGCCGTATGTTTCCGCGTGCCATTCGTGGAATTCCTCCATGAAGCACACGACTGATCCTTTCCATACGAGTCGCTTGTCACCGTGCCCCTCGCACGCATCGCACTCCCAGTCTCGAAGCACTTCACAGGCATTCAATATCTGCTTCTGCGATTGCTCCAAGTACAAGTCGAACGTGTCGACGAACGTGACTTTGCCGCGATTCTTTTTCGGAACGTACGGGTCGTAGTTGGGCCTTTTCACACTCTTCATACCAAAGGAGACGGATATGGACGGTGACGCGGCGATATCATCTAGGGAAAAGTCATTCTTCATCAAGCGTATGGATCTCTCGAACATGTGATTTTTAAGAAACCACGGCTGTCTCTCGGCCGGCGGTTGCAAGTGGCTCGCAATGACGGCAGCACCTGTGCCTAAAATTGCAAACAGCCCCAGCATCAGCAACGCCATTGGCTTATCGCACACGTTGTTGCGACGACCGACCGCCGCTTGCGTGTACGCCTGAGAATAGCCATTGGGCTTGTGAGCGTCCCAAGGGCGCCGGGGCGCGCGATCGTACCGCGGCGAACGGCGCGGGCTCCAGCCGCGGTACCAGACGTCGGGGCCGACAACTTGCCCGCACCCGCCGCCCGATCTGGCCTCCATGTGAGGAGCGACAAATATCCGTCCGCGACGGCGCGGCTCGCGGCCCCATCTCGCGGAGGCGAATCCTCGGCTCGGTTGCAGAAACATCGGCGGTACCGATGTGACAGCGAGAACAGCGCGGGTATGATCGAAAGCCCAAGAATAAAGTCAAACAGTACGCAGAGCGACGCATAGATTCCCAAAGAAACCATTGGCATGCAGGGACTCGCGAGATTCGCGAGGAACGCGGCGATGGTCGTGAAACTTGTCATAGCGATGGATCCCGAAGCACGGCTGTATGCGTAAGTCAAGCGCAGTCGTAGATGTTTCCTGTCATCATCAGGCGGGTCGAGAAACCATGACCGGCGCCAGGCATCCGTGAACACGAAGACGTCGTCAGCGCCGATGCCTACGCCCGAACTCTGGAGCTACGCACAGCTTCTTAAAAAAATACCGAGTGCGATGAATATGACGAGCGCGTGTAGGCCCGTATAATATCGGAGACCGAGCACGCAACGGTAAAAAAAAAGTGCGAGGAGCATCGACATGAGAATCTGCAGCGTCGCACACCACCCCATGGGGAGCGAACGCAGGTAACAGGAGATGATCAGAAACACGACTAGAATTGCACCCAAGAAAATAGTGACGTCCTTGTCGGCAATTCTCAGTACCTCCTTTATCAGCACTAGCTCCGAGTACCAAAGAACATCCAGCTTCTTTTTCACAGCTGCGCGCATGTAGCGAGATTCCGCTGGGGTCGCTTTCATATCGTATTTGTTCCATAAGCGTTTTTCAATTTTGTATCCCAGGTCGTCAATCACCGTATCCCACTGAGAGCCGCTTTCTTTGGAACCAGTGCTCGAATATCCAGCAAGCGGAGTCCCGAAGTAAATGAAGCTCCTAGCCTTGCAGGTATGGTTTGACGACCTGTATGCCTCCTGAGATCGATCATACCACGAGTCGACGCGGCGATAAGACGCTGGATCACCGAGCAGCAACCTCGATACCTCCTGCGGTATCTGGTTTGCCTGCTGGCTCACTTGATGCTGCGGGAGCTCGCGACACGATGCGTTCGATCCGTAGAACCTAGCGGGCGTGTTTTTGAAGTAGAGATGCTTGTTGCAACCACACCAGAATGTGAGCGAGAGATGTGCGGGTGCACAAGAATCATCCGCAGCCAAGACACAAAACCGTTCGAGGTACTCTTGGCTGAGAAGCACGAATTTCTCCGTCTCACAGATGGTCTGTACGTGCCGCGATGTGAAGATACCGTACGGAGTCTCGCAGTCTCCCTGCAAGTTTGCATCGTACAAGAATGACCACGAGTAGGTAGGATCGCGTCTCTCGCCAACATGCAATTTGTCGACGTCGTTTGCCGCTAGCGTGATCATGTCAAACCTGCCGGATACAGGTTTCCCTGGAAAACGCTCAAACGACTCGCACCGTTCCGTGTATTTGTCGTCAGTGATGGACCAATCGTAGATGCTCGGCTCACTCGCGGCAAAGTTTACCGACATTAAAGCGGCCGCGGCGCCAGCGCATAGGAATAGGACGACAAAGCACAAGAATCCCGGGCGATCGGCGACGATGCATGCGAGGTTATTTAGGGGACGTCCGGCCGCTACGTCATTGCTAATTGCCGAGCGATCATCGTGATGATCTACTATGGTAGACGCTCGCTTGCTCTGCTTTGGGAATCTGATCGCCTCTGAAGCTGACCTTGACTCGTTTTCGGTTTCCGCTCGGAAGTCCGTTTTCGCCTTGTGCTGTTCAGCCGGTGGGAAAGCATAGCTCGAGGCAATTGCGTGGCCAGCTGACTCCAGCTCGTCCTCGTCGCGAGTGTCTCCGCATGGATTGCACGCGAGCTCAAGGATGGAGACGCCAGGTGACTTGCATTGAGCACGGTCCCTCGAATTTTCCATGAGCTCAATGGAGCTGGGTTCCATATCGACATCCTCGCTCTCTTTCGCGCATAACGTTTCGCTCGAGGGGATCGAGTCTTCATTCTCAGCCATGTACTGCAACGCTTGTATTGCAAATAGGGAGACTCTTACAATGTTATTCGGCAATCTTTGCGCGTCCGGGGCGAGGGCGACGCGGCCCAAGCCGCTGAGGCGCTTCGACGAAGCCTGAGCCTGTACTAGCTCAACACTAGCTCCAAAATCTGCAACACTTAAGTCGAAAGACCTAAGTCTTTCATGGTAACTAGGTGATTAAGGAGATCAGAAGGAGCAGTATCGATCCCGTAAATACTTCGCCTATAGATCGCCGCTTACCTGTGCGAGCCGCCATTGCCACCTGGCTCGGTTCGCCGAGGTAAGTAGTATAGGGAATCATCACTGCATCTTGGGCCGCCCCCCCGAACTTGGGCCGCCGGCCCTTGGCGGCGTCCTGCGGTCGCCGCTGGGGCTCTGCGTGCACTCCTAACACGTCGAACCCGTTCGGAGTAACCCCGTGTGCTGCGCCGATGCTTTGAGTGCGCTGAAATTCGTTGTGGAGCTCGCTATCCAGCCCAAAAAGCTCGCGGTGCGCCTCGAGGACAGCTCGTTGGCGAATACGATGCACGTCGCGCGTCGGCCCGTGTCGCAGGACCTCCCCTCAACGTCTATGATGATGACATCGACGCCGGCTGCCTCGCTGCAGGCGCCGAGGTCGCACGTGCCGCCGTAGGGCCGCGTCGACCGGTTCGGCGCCGGGGCCCATGGGCTGCCCCGACATGTCTGCGAGGGCGAGCACGAGGCCTTCTCGCTCTTCCACGTCGACGACGCGTGCTCTACGCCCTCGGGAGCCCGACGGGTTCGCATCAATGGCTCCGTTGAATCGGTGTTCGCGAGCGGCTCCGGCGCCGACTTGTACGACTGCTTCTACTTCGAGTCGTACTGGAGCTACCGCCACGCGTCGTTCCAGGCCTGCTACGGCTACGACACGGACTCCTACGGCTAGAGCAACGCCTACTAGCTGATATCCGCGGGAGGGTTAAGACGGAGCGGCATCCGGCAATCTTTATTCGCTAAGGCCGCGTTAGTCTATCGTCTAGAGCGGCTTAGACGATGGTGGGCGTTTAGCGTGGAATCGCTGCCCCAGGACCTCCGGTGGGCTTCGCGACCCACCCGCTGTGCTAGCTCGGCCCGCCCGGGGCGTTCGGGGCCCCGCGGGCTGCGGAAGGGCGCCCCGTGCCGGGGCGTGACGCCATGCCACAAGGCGCTTCTCGCGCAGCCGCTGCTCGCGATGATGTCGGGCCGGATGAGCTGCGCGCGATGGAGGGTGAGTTGCACTTGTTCTTGCACGAGCTTACAAACGGTAACGCGGCGCATGCGGCGAACATAATGACCACCGCTTTGCGTTACATTCCTCAAAGTAATTTCGAGGTGCGGCCGAATCCATTCGGTTCTTACGGTGGCTCCCTTGACTTTGTTGGTGCTCCCTATGGTCTGGAGCCTGGTGCACTTCGTGCTGCTTCTGATGAGATTGTGCGCAACTGGGATAATGTGGAGATTCGTATAAAACAATTTTGGCACGGCTTCGAGTACGGTGTGATACAAGACGAGGATGCGGATGCGTTTCCTGCTCACGTCAGGAGAATGCCCAGGCATTTGACACTCATGGACTTGCACGTGCTCCGGCAGTCTTCAGAACACGCATGTTTTGAGGAGCATCTCGATCTACACAATGCCAATGATGTCGCCATAATCTGTGTTCTTTCTAGAAGTGATTCTCACGATGAAAGTGAAGGTGCGGAAGAGTATGCTCAGGAAAAAAGTGGAGTTCACATCCGGACGTTACCTTTGTCTCAAACATGTCCCAAAGTACGTTTTTCATGGTTGTGTGTTGTGATGGAACTTTTGTAGGTGTGGCTGCCTTTAAAGCAGCCGGGCGACGGTGTCTTAATTCGCGGGAACAAGCACTACCATATAACGTGTCCTCCCCCGGACGGAGTTGAGATTTTGAAGCTAGTTCTATTTTGCTCGGAGGACTAGGATGCAAGCGCTAAAAATGTAAGTAGGTTGGGGGATAGGCGAGCGAGGTCGGTTGGGAACGTGACTAGTGGAGTTTTAGGTGCCAGCTCAAGTTACGTTTCTTTGCTGCTATTTTTTCGCGTGTCTCTTGTGTCTTCCTGAGTTTCTCCTTGGCCTTCTGTGCTTCCGTGTCAGCTCTGTAGCCTAGCAGTTGCACGTACCGCGGCGTGCCACACCAGTGCTGATAATCGCACTCGAGCGGGGCTACTGGCTCGCCGGATAGTATGGTGCCCTGATTTTCACGATTTCTGCATGGGAGGCACCTGCACGCTATGAATCTGGTTTCAATGAACATCTTCTTTTTGCCATCTTTGCCCGTGCAAGCCAGATCATCAGAATCCGGCTCGGAGTCCACGCGCGCCAGGGGATGTTCTTTCGGCTCTGGCGTCCACGGGGCTTTGATCCTAACGCAATACAGCTGGCTTGAATGCGCGTTCGGAGCATCATAGTGGATGCCTCCATTAACTTCGTCTACAGTTGCCCAGCCTTGTACGTCCGTGTCCTCGTGTTTCGCTGCGCCGTCGTTGTAGCCCCCATATATATAACAACCATTGCATGACCACGTACCTGCAGGGCTTGGGCTTGGGTGTTTTATGTACTCCATACAAAAATCAACCATGCCCTTTGCGTTGTAGACTGAATTTGGAAGGGTGTCTGATCTGATCATCTCCATGCGCAACCTTGCGGGCTGCGCACCGTATGCGTCGACCGGGCCGCTCATGTGGTGCGCTGCGCCAAACATCTGCATGATCTCGACATCGTATTTTTCTGTAATTCCATAGAGATACCCAAAGGAAGGTGCGCCTTTATACGTCGATGTTTTTCCGTCTGAAATCACTGTAATTTTTTTAAGCCCGGGCACTGCGCCTCGGGAACATGCACGCCCGATTGCGCTCATAGCGGGCGGACGCAGCCGATCACGTCGAGGCTCTCCCCATCCTCCTTCTGGCAATTGCAATTTTGATTCCTTGTGTGGTTCCTGGCCGCTGTAGTGCACGAAAATCTCTTCTATTAGGAGAGCGTTGTAATGCGCACAGTCCTTGGCCCCGCTAAAGATGCGCCAGACGTCCGTCTGAACGGGCCTTTCTTGCCCGTCCACTTGCTCGCCTGGGTTGTAAAGCACGATGGCGACCGCGCATCCAACGGCAGGGCTGATCTCGCTGGTGCTTTGTGCGATCCCGTGCAGTTTGTTGCGGTTCGCAAAGTCCGTAACAACGACGATCGACCGTTCGCCATCGAAGGTAGCAATTTCCAGCTCCTGCGCACGTTTGGTCTGTTGCTTGATCCACATGTGATAATGCCATTTGTTTGTTTTATCTGCCAACTTGTTGCTGATCTCACCATACGTGGACGGAACTTTTACGAACTTGTCCGCAAAGCACTTATCGACTCTCGGGGCCGCGTTGACCTCTTGTTTTGAATGGTACGTGAGCGGCAATGTCAGTCGTTTGCACTTGCCTTCCTTTGGCATCACCATCTGGTAGCCATAAGTGCACTGTGTGCATTTCCTGTGAAGCTCAGGGAGGACTTTGTCGGCGCCTTTCGGCGGTTGTTTCTCCACGGCGCAGGTGAACATGTAGAATTCAGGCGGCTCCTTCTCCTTGGGGAGCTGAAATCCAGGGCAGGTCTCCTTGCCGCACGGTGACAGTGCAAGCCTTAAAGCATGCGGGCTTTGTATTGCCGCGCGCCATGCCGAGCCGGGTTTGCATGCCTCACAGTCGCATATGTCACCCTTTTGCCTAAAGGATTCCCGCAGGGCTTTAATGATGTAGACGATCTCCCAGCAGATTGGACAGGCGCAGTCGTTGCCCGAGCTGGGGCGCATGCATGGGCACACGAGCTTCCTGAGCGTTGCAGTAGAGATGAGCGAGTTCGGGTGTCGGTCTTGGTACCACTTGACCACGTCGCCCTTGGTGCCCATCAGAACCTTCTTCTGGCACTTGATGCAAACCAGATTTTTCCCATCAGTCTTAAACTTCTTCTTGGTGTAGCTTGCTTGATAGTCCTTGTCTAGTTCCAGCAATTCACAGAAGTGCATCTCCTTCCACGCAGATACAAGGTCGTGCAACGGAATGCGGACCCTACCTCTGTGAGGCGTCTCAGTGTTGTCCGGCGGTTGCTCGAAGAATGCTTCTCTCCTGTCAGCTCCGTTTCTTAGCATTGTTGCCGAGAGCCCAGTTAGTTCTATTAAATTTCCAATCGTGCCGTCTGCCCGATTTAGCATGGCGTCGTCCACGAGGTACGCGGCGACATTCTTAAGGCGCGTTATTTCGCAGTCATGTAGGCCAGTGTGCTCGCGCAGCAGTCGCACATTCTCAAGCACTTCCATTCCAAGGACAGGCATGTTTAAGTTTGCCTCTTTTACGCGTCCGTAGACCTCATGTGCCATCCGATCTTCGGCATCGTTGTTGTCCCGCGCTTGGCCTTGCAGCCTTTTGCCGCGTGCGTACAGCTCTTTAAGTTGTTGGTTAAGCTCTTTAGGGCCTCCTGCACGCAGCACGTCGATCACGTCTGCGAGCCCTTTGTACAGGTCCCGGGGAACGAGGCAGCGGCGCTTCGCCGATCCGTGCTGCTGCCCAGGAAGTTCGCTGGCTAGCGCGACTGCCCAGGGAATCGATTCTTCTGTCAGCGCGGCTGCGGGCTGCCCTGAAGATGAGCTACTTTGGCTTGCGCTGTCTTCGTCGTCGTCGCTCGCGCCCGCGGCACTGTCGCTCTCGCTCCCGCGTTCGCTGGCGCTGCTATCGTCGTCGCTTTCGCTCGAACCATCGAACCAATCGTCGGCCGCCGCAGCGGCGGAGTATTCGCTGCCCTCGGACGCGCCGTCTTCGTCGCTGCTGGCGCTGTCTACGAACATGTCTCGCCCATGCTTGCGTCCTGTCTTAAGTGCTGCGCAGATATAACTCAGTAGATATATCTAAGCCGCCCTAGGCGTTTATAGTCGTTTATAGGCGTTCATAGGCGTTTCTAGGCGTTTCTAGGCCTCGCTAAGCCGAGTTAGCGACACACTATGGCGCCGGAACCCGCCATTACGCCGAAGAAGTTCTCGAATCAGAGGAAGCCGCCGGCGGACGAACGCACGTGGAACTGGCGCGACGTGGCGGAAGGCGACGAGCTGCTCGTGACGCTCCACGGCGTCGTAAAAGAATGCCGCGTGACCTCTGTCACCGCTAATGAGCATGGTTGGGCGATTTACGTCACGTGGCACAAAAGGACCAGAGGCGGGCTTGACCCGGACAAGCTGACAATGTTGGACAGCTGGCACGTGGTTAAACCAAACCCGGCCGGGACGAGCAGCAGAAAAAGATCAAGCAGAACTCCAACAACAACACCAACAAACAAATCAAAAACTACTTTCTCTTCAAAACCCCAATGACACACAGGCGAACAGTTTCAAAGAAGAATGGTTCGAGAAAGGAGCTAAGCAAACTAAAGAATCCATCGAATGGGGGCTGACGATCTCGGAAAAATTGAACAGAGAAGCGGCCAAGTTAGACGCGGAGCGAGCGAAATTACAGCACCTCCATTACATGGAATATACTCAGAGGTCTCCAGCTCAATCGCAAGGCCAGAAACAACCGCAAGGCCAGAATCCGACCCTGTTTCCACCTCCACAAACACCTCCGGCTCTTTTTGCACCGGCAGCACCAGCACCAGCTCCAGCTGCACTGATGCTAGCAGCTGCAGCACATGCACCCGCAGCACATGCACCCGCAGCACCTGCAACCGCAGCACCTGCAACCGCAGCACCTGCAGCCGCGGCACCTGCAGCAGGCAACGCCACAGAAGAGATGGCAACCCTAGCAGCTTTCTTGCGCGCAGGCGCCATTACTTTTGGTGAATTCATGGAACACGCGAAGCGTCTAACGCAGCCGTGAATCATCACGCTCGGGTGCTTTCTCCCATGATGACTGCCTGTTCAATAGGAACAAATGGGAGTTTTTAGCGATAACCCGGATCTTATTATACTAGAGTATCGGAATCTACGCTAGTTGCATACTACCCCGAGAATCGTCTATAAGGAGCAGGTCCTTGTATGCCGCTCGTGCGAGCGAACCTGCCATCGCGAGTCCAAAATCAGCACTCTCGCGAGCCACTACACCGCAGCACGTCTCTCTATGCGGAAAGTGGTGACATCTATGAGAAGCCGTGCAAATGCGCTCCTCATAAGGCAGGTCATTTACATGCCAGCTTTTCAAGTTGTTGTATATGACTATCTCCTTCCGATAAGGCGTCCCAAAAAGCATGCATTTGCAGAGGGCAGTTTTCTTAAGCCCCAAAATAGAATGAAACACATCCTTGCAAATGGGCTGCTTTGGGCCATAGCCCGCAGGTATTTCCATGATCACCTTGCAAAGCGGGTTCACCTGCCATGCGGCGATCATCAGCAAACTTATCCACATCAACGTCTCGTTGCCAAACTCAATCTTTCGCGCTTGCTCCTCCGTAAGAGGAGCACCATTCACAAGGTCTATCGAGCGCAACAATTCCCAGCAAAAACACAAACACCGGGCGGACAACGCTTGAAGTAATGACGTTTGTACAACCAAAAGTCACGGAACGAACAGAGCACGTGCGGACACATGTTCGGATCACCATCCACGCCGATGCACCCGCATCTGCCATTACTAATAGCGTAGATCCGTTGCAAAAACGTGAAGTTGTGCGACCCAAACTCGTAGGCGAAATCCCCATATTTTTCAGGAGCATTGAGCCCACAAGGTGGAAGAGGCGTACTCCTTTTTTTGGTCCCATTGTTACTGCAGCAGATGGAGGCTTCTCGCACGCGCAGCTGCTCCATTATACGCGCAAGACGTTCCTTAGCTTCGTCCATGTCTCGACGGTAGCTTTCTCCGATCCAAACGACCTTCGACTTCTTTGCGGGCGAAGACATGACGCACGAAAAAAAAAACCGGCAACCCGCGCCCCAACCCTACCTCCACACTCTCGGAAAACACAAACGAGCACGCCAGAGGCAGCGAAATCGCACGTTTGCAGCGACACGAAGACGCCGCGCGCGGGGCGCTGCGAGCAGCGCTGAATGCCCCGGCACGGGGCGCCCTTCCGCAGCCCGCGGGGCCCCGAACGCCCCGGGCGGGCCGAGCTAGCACAGCGGGTGGGTCGCGAAGCCCACCGGAGGTCCTGGGGCAGCGATTCCACGCTAAACGCCCACCATCGTCTAAGCCGCTCTAGACGATAGACTAACGCGGCCTTAGCGAATAAAGATTGCCGGGTCAAAGTCTGTGATACCCCGGGGAAGCGGCGAGCTAAAAATAGCAACAAAGAAACGTAAAGACCGCAATTGAAGCACTACGAAACTACGCTTGAGCTGGCACCTGAAACTCCACTAGTTCCCAACCGACCTCGCTCGCCTATCCCCCAACCTACTTACATTTTTAGCGCATGCATCCTAGTCCTCCGAGCAAAATAGAACTAGCTTCAAAATCTCAACTCCGTCCGGGGGAGGACACGTTATATGGTAGTGCTTGTTCCCGCGAATCAAGACACCGTCGCCCGGCTGCTTTAAAGGCAGCCACACCTACAAAAGTTCCATCACAACACACAACCATGAAAAACGTACTTTGGGACATGTTTGAGACGAAGGTAACGTCCGGATGTGAACTCCACTTTTTTCCTGAGCGTACTCTTCCGCATCTTCACTTTCATCGTGAGTATCACTTCTAGAAAGAACACAGATTATGGCGACATCATTGGCATTGTGTAAATCGAGATGCTCCTCAAAACATGCGTGTTCTGAAGACTGCCGGAGCACGTGCAAGTCCATGAGCGTCAAATGAAACCCGAGCACACGGACACGTTCTAGAATTGTGTGCAGTATTTGCCGCAGACATGGAAACAATTTCGATTCCCGCGCTCGCCCTGAGCTAAGATTAAAGGCAACTTGTCTGGGCATTCTCCTGACGTGAGCAGGAAACGCATCCGCATCCTCGTCTTGTAGCACACCGTACTCGAAGCCATGCCAAAATTGTTTTGTGCGAATCTCCACATTATCCCAGTTGCGCACAATCTCATCAGAAGCAGCACGAAGTGCACCAGGCTCCAGACCATAGGGAGCACCAACAAAGTCAAGGGAGCCACCGTAAGAACCGAATGGATTCGGCCGCACCTCGAAATTACTTTGAGGAATGTAACGCAACGCGGTGGTCATTATGTTCACCGCATGCGCCGGGTTACCGTCGGTAAGCTTGTGCAAGAACCTGTGCAACTCACCCTCCATCGCGCGCAGCTCATCCGGCCCGACATCATCGCAAGCAGCGGCCGCGCGAGAAGCGCCTTGTGGCATGGCGTCACGCCCGGCACGGGGCGCCCTTCCGCAGCCCGCGGGGCCCCGAACGCCCCGGGCGGGCCGAGCTAGCACAGCGGGTGGGTCACGAAGCCCACCGGAGGTCCTCGGGCAGCGATTCCACGCTAAACGCCCACCATCGTCTAAGCCGCCCTAGACGATAGACTAACGCGTCCTTAGCGAATAAAGATTGCGGGCCGACGGTTTTTCGCTTCCGGCGCTTCGGTCGGGCTGGGCGCGGCCCGCGAACCGGTTTCCCGGTGTTTCCCGGACGCGAAACTCGGCTCGGGGCCGCGCATGGACGGTCGCCCCCGGGGGCGCCGGGCCGCGACCATTGGAAATCATTGGAAGTTTGGGTTTGGAAAGAAATCGTGCGAGGCGCGCGCTCTCGGGGAAATCGTCGAACTCGGGGGTTCAGGGGGGTAGTAGAGGGGCGGGGACCGCTTCACGGGGCGCGGGGAAAGCCCTTGTCGGGGCTGGGACCGTTTGCTCATGACCGTGTTCGCCTAGGTGCAGCGGCTCCGCGCGGAACACCCGCCGGGCGGGATTCGGCGGAGCCCTCGGGCGGCGGCGCGGCCCTCCTGGACGTCAACGGGCTCCTCGGCGCGCCGCGCGTCGTCGCCGCGCCGGGCACGCCGCCGCGGAGCTCGATCGGCGGCGGCACGCCGGCGGGGAACGAGCGGGGCTCCGCGCGGAAGTTCGCGTCGGGCGGCGGCGCGATCCGCCGGTCGTGGTCGGGGTCGCGGGCTCGGTCCCGGTCCCGGGGCCGATCGCCGTCGGCGAGCGCGCCACGGAGGCTGAGCTCGGCGGCGGACAAGGAGAACTCGTCGCCGCCCGCGCGCGGTCCGCGCGAGCGGCCCGCGGCGCCTGAGGCGCTCCCCGAGGCCTCGACCGCGGCCGTGAAGCGGCCCCGCGGCTTTTTCGAAGGGCTGTGGAACGCTTTGGGCCGCCAACGGCCCCGGCTCGATACGTCTGCGTCGGCGACGGCCCCGGCGTCCGCGCGGCCGCCGCCGACGGTCTCGGCGCCGGCGCCGGCGCCGCGGCCGCGGCCGATGCCCGAGGCCTTCTACGGCCGGGCCGTCCGCACGCCGTGCGACGCGGAGCTCTTCGTTTCCGGCCTCCTACGCGTCCGCGCTGCTGTTTCGTCCTCGGCCCCGGCGTTGGGGAAGACGCGGCAGCGGCGCGGAGTTGATGAACACCTCACGGCGCGGCTTCTGGAGACTCCCTTTCCCAAGTCCATCCCCGTGTCCTACTGTTTTTCGGGGGCTCTTTCGTCACGCCCGTGCCCTCGCATGTCGGCCGTCGGAGTCGGCGTGGCCTCGGCGCGACGCGCGGCGAAGATCTCCGATCTTCTCCCCGTCGTGCAGGCCATGCGGCTCCGCGACATCCTCACGGGCAACACGCAGCACGTCATCGACGAGGCCGCGCTGCCGCCGTCGCCGGCCGCCCTCTACTACTTCCTCGACGACCAGGACTCGCAGCGCGGCTCGAAGTGGAACCCGAAGGGCGTCGGCCGGCCGCGCTTCAACGCGTTCAACCGGCAGGTCACCGAGCTCCTCCGCGACCCCTTCGTCGTCGCGAACATGCTCGCGGCGCTGAAGATGGTGTCGGACCGCGGGCCCGTCGTCGAGTCGGCGCCCGACAGCGGCGACCCGGCGCGCGCGCCGCGCGGCCGGCCGCCGAAGCGGCGGCTCGAGACGGAGGACCCGGCCATGAAGCTCATGCAGGAGCAGGTGGAGCGGGCGGAGGCCAAGAACGCGGCCCTCGAGAAGGAGAAGGCGGCCCTCGCGGAGGAGCTGCGGGATGCCGAGGCGACGGCGGCGGCCAAGGCCGACGGGATTTCGTCGGTCACGCTCGACGCGGCGTTGAAGGCCATCCGCGACGCGCTGGACCGCGCCAAGCTCCAGTCCGAGCAGGCGTCGCGCAACATCGACTTAATCGTCGGCGTCGACAGCAGCGACCTCTCGATGGCCGAGCTGGGCGTGCTGAGCAAGGTCGGCGACCTAGTGCACCTGAGCGCGGAGGTATTGGACGCGGCCGTCGCGTCCGCGCCGGGCCTGGCGCAGCAGCTCGACGAGCTCGTGGCGACGCCCCGGGCGAAGCCGGAGCTCGCGCTGATCAAGCGCCGGCGCGTGTTTCTCAAGCTCCTCGAGGTCGCGAAGGTCAGGAGGACCAAGGGCGGCGTCGAGAACGTGCTACCGCGGCACGCGGCCGTCACGGCCATGGCCACCGGGGCGACGGCCGCGAGCGTCGAGACGCGGCGCCGGTGCATGGGCGACACCATCTCCTTCGCGGAGACCTGGCGCTTTTGCAAGGTCGCCGCGCGCCTCGCCAAGGTCGCGTACCCGGGCCTCTTTCCGGGCCGGCGAGTCGCCTTCGCCGACGACAACGCGCAGTGGACGCGCCTCTGGGCGCAGCAGCGCCTGGAGCACTTCAATTCGTTCGAGACCAACCCGCTGCTCCAGTCGTGGTTCGCGATCGCGTGGCCGCTCCAGACGCTGCCGCTGGAGAAGACGCTCCGCGAGCTCGGCGTGCAAATCAAATCTTCAACCCGACTTCAATGTGCGCGTATTCGAATGTTTTGACACGAGCACTTCCGCCGTGCTTCGAGACCTCGCTGAGAGCAATCGATTCGTCCAAAAATCAGCCGAATCGACTTCGATTTGACCGAGCTAGAGAATTCTGAAGTTTGGCCCCGACGTCCCAGCTCACTGGTTGATTTGCACACAGGCGAGCTCGGCGTGCGCTCGAAGCCCTTCGTCGAGGTCCGCGCGGCCGACTTCGACATCGACGCCCACTCCCAGCCCTGGCTCGCCAAGGAGCTCGGGGTGCTGAGCGTCGACGGCGGCTACGGCCGCGACCTCCTGAAGCGCACGCTCTACAAGCTCGTCTGGCGCCACGACCCGGGCGCGTTCCCGCCGGCGGTCTTCAAGAAGCCGCGGTGGACCGACGCCTTCAAGTACCGGCCGGAGGGCCCGCTCCAGCTCGAGGACGACTGGAAGAAGGACGACGTCAAGTCCCTCGAGGTCCAGCTCAAGAACACGCAGAAGGTGCCCGAGGTCGCCGAGGCGCGCCTCCAGGCGCTCGACTGGTTCGGCATCGGCTGCGGCGACCCGGGCAAGGACTGGGTGATCTACGTCGGCGACTACGTCCTCTACCGCAACGGCCTCAACGCCGCGGGCATGACGGTCGCCGAATTATCGCGGCTCCTGGACAAGCGCGTCGTGCGGACGACGGCGCAGCTCGTCGCGCTCGAGGCCGCGGAGACGGCGGCGGCGACGCCGCTGGCCGGGCCGACGGGCGACGCCGCGGCGGCGTCGACGACGGTCTCGGCGCAGCCGCCGGCGGCGACGCCGTCGACGGCGGTCCCGGCGACGTCGACGGCCGCGACCGTCGCGGCGACGTCGACGGCCGTCGAGGACGGGCCCTCGCCGCGGGAGTCGCTCGACGCCTTCTTGGCGATCAACCCGAGCTCCAAGCAGGTCCAAGAGGCCTGCATGGCCTGGGGCTTCGGGATGAACGAGGACGTCACGCAGTACAAGCGCGCGGCGAAGCTCGATCACGGCACGGGCATGACGATCTGCCGCCTCGCGAGGCTCAACGGCATCAACCTCCTCAAGTACCTCGTCGAGAACATCGACGAGCCCTGCTTCGCGAGCCGCGACTACTCGCCCCTCGTCGTCCCGCCGGACATCGCCGCCACGGCGGAGAGCTTGGAGCCCGCGCGCAAGAACCGGCCGACGGCGTCGTACCGGCCGACGACGCCGTCGTTCGGGCTCGAGCCGCCCGTGGACCCGCAGGCCGCGCAGTCCGGGCGGCTGCCGCGCGCCTGCACGCTGCGCGATGCGTCGGCGCGCGGCGGCGACGGCGGCGACGCTCTGGACCGCTTCGAAGAGGCCGGCGACGACGACGACGAGGCGTGCTACGTCTGCGGGGACCCGCTCGGCATCGCCGAGCCGAGCATCTTCTGCGTCGGCTGCGGCCAAAAGGCCCACGTGAGCTGCGTCGACCACCGGTCGCGGGGCGACCACCTCTGCGACGAGTGCGCGGAGACGCCGCGGCGGGCGCCGCCGCGGCGGGCGCCGCCGCGGCCGACGTCGACCCTGCTCAGCATGCGCGTCATCCGCAAGTTCATCGAGGACGACGTCCCCCTCTCCTTCCTCCTCCAAAATCCCAAGGGCGGCAAGAGCCGCGACCGCTACGAGGCCTACAAGGTCGCGACGTCGGGCGCGGACTTCCAGAGGCGCGGCGGCTCCGCGGAAGACCTCCGCAACGACCTCGTGCGAGGCTACGTCACCCTCGGCGGCGAGGCCGCGAAGGATCCGTGCGGCCCTGTTGCCCGCGACGGGAGCCGCCGCTCCACGGCCGCGCGGCGAGGCCCGCGCGGTCGCGAGGCCCGAGCTGACGCCGCGGCCGACGACGGCGTCCGACGGGGCGTTCCAGTCCTGCCTCCGCGCGATCAAGGCCCAGGGGCTGCAGCCGGGCACATCGTCGGCGCCCGACGACTGGGACCCGCTGCAGGGCCTCGAGGACGTCCTCGGCGACGCGACCTGCGGGCTGCCGCTCCGCGCGTCGTACCGGGCGGAAGCCGCCGCGATCCGCGCCGCGGCGACGCCCGCGCAGCGGCGCGCGTTCGCCGGGCGGTGGCTCCACATCGTCGACGACCGGGCCAAGGTCTTAGGCGAGCGCTCCGGACCGCGGGCGTGCGGCGCGCTCGTGAGCTTCCGGGCCCACGTCCTCGAGGGCCTCGGCGACGCGAATTTGGACGCCGCGGGCCGCGCGGACGTCGACGCGTACGCGCGCCTCATCCAGAGCCACATCGACGAGAACCAGGCCAAGGCGCGACGGCTCGACGACCTCGCGACGCGCATCGCCGCGGCGCGCCTCAGGGCCGACGACGGCGGAGGCGCGACGGCCGCGGACCGGCGCGGCGACGACGGCGGCGACGACGACGTCGGCCGCGCGGACGGCCGCGGCGACGGCGACGGCGGCTTCGACGCCGCCTACCCCGAGCTCCTTCGGATCCACAATCTGCCGGGGCTCTGGCACCTCCTGGAGGCCGGCGGAATCAAGGTGATCTTCAAGCTCTACTACAAGTCGCTCCTGGGACGCTGCGCCCACGACGTGCTCAAGCGCAAGGGCATCACCATCAAGGCGGCCAAGTTTTTCCAGGCCACGGAGCTCTTCTACCACGTCTGGGAGGCCATGGCCACCGCCCTGTTCCGCGCGCACCGGAAGAGCCAGACGTTCCGCGAGTCGCCCGTCGACCTCGACACGCCGGAGCTGTACATGGACAACTTCCTCGAGTGGTACCGCGCGAAGCGGGGCACGGGCGACGTGCCCTTCGTCCACTACGGTGGGTTCGTCTTCGGCATGGGCATCTACTTCCGCTTCTGCAAGAAGAGCATCAGCCTCAAGCTGCCCATGCTCACGTTCGCGCTCCAGCTCATCCACCTCGGCGCCTGCGACATCACGAACAAGTACAACCTCAAGCGCCAGTGCTTCTACAGCCTCGTCAAGTTCCTGACGAGCTCGGAGGACGTCGCGAAGGGCTTGCTCGCGGCGTCCACGGTGAGCCTGAGCGGCCGGGAGCACCACGCGGTCTCGTCGGACGCCGCGCAGGAGATCAAGCAGGGCGAGATCCAGAAGAGCATGGGCCCCAAGTTCGGCGTGGCCAAGGTGCTGATCCACTCGGCGCTCAACGACCTGCTCTCGGGCGTCGCGAAGTCGTTCGCGGCCATCGCGACGGGCGACGCGTCGGCGGCCGCGGCCGGCGGGCGGTCGAAGAACGCGCAGGCCGACATCGCCGCCCTCGTCGCCCACTTCGAGGCGCACGACATCTTCAACTACGAGGGCCCGGCGCGGACGTCGCTCCCCGCGGGCCTGACCTCCAAGGACTACGTGCTCCCCAAGGGCTACGTGGCGCCCCTGGACTTCACCGCGCCGCTCGACAGGCAGCACCAGCCCGTGCTCGAGCGGGCCTTCGTCGCGGCCACGGAGCTCCTCACGCAGGCCGGCCTCCACGAGGCCGACGAGCCCGTCGAGCTCGCCGTGCCGGCGCTCCGGGACGACGACGACCTCTCCGCGGATCACCGGTGCCGCATGCTGCATGCTGTTGGATTGTCGAGCTCCGCCCGCGTCACGCGTATCGGCGCGTGTCGGCGCCTTCGGCGCCTTCGGCGCCTCATTTTTTTCTTTTTTTTCCCTTCTTTTTTTTACCCCGCCGTCCCATGACACGGAAAAATTGCCCCGTCGGCGAGCGCCGGCGCGTCCGCTCTAAGATAGGCCTCCATCGCGTATCCCACGAAAATAGACGTTAATCCCCCGCCTCGCGCGCCTCGGCGTCGGCGCGGAGCCGGGCGTCGTCGTCGTCCGAGTCGGACTCGTCGACCTCGGGCTCGGCGTACTGGGAGGAGACGGACTCGTCGCCGTCTCGGAAGAAAGCCTGCCCTACTCGAGGCCTTACTCGGAGGTCCCCCACGTCCCGGCGTCCTGGGTGGCGCCCTGCGGCTAACGGCCGCAGCCGCGGGGCCTCGCGGACGGCGCCGCTGGCGCGTGGAGCGCGTCGGTTCTCATGGTAGTTATGTGCGTTACTCTGCGCACGGTCGCGGCGCCGGCGGCTCGCGCGGGGCCTTGGCGCGTGGTGGCGGCGCTGGGAGGCGCTCCACCGCGGCGCGGCGCCGGCGCTCGGCCGCTGGTGAAAGGCGCGCGTCGCCGACGTCGAGGGCCCCGCGGCCGCGGCGGACGTCGCGGCCGATCCGGCGCCTCCGCCACGTCGCGCCGGCCTCGCGCGGCGCGCTCCGCACGTGGCGCGCGGCCGCGGCGGCGTCCGCGGCCGCCGCCGCGGACGGGCGGCGCTCAGGAGCCGCGTCGCCGCCTGGTGGTGGCGCGCGGCCGCCG